CCCTTATTATACTGGGTTCGAGCACGGGGGCAACCTCACTCGCGATCGAGCTAGTTTTTGCACGTGACAGCATCTTTGACAGTGTGTTTCAGGTTTGTTTTGGAATGTCTTCTGCCTTAGGTCAAGTAGTTTCCGATGGCTTCGAGCGGTGCTGAACCTCCTGCTGGTAGGAGCAGAGTCTCCGAGAAAGACATGGACTGTGATGCAGCTGAAGGATTTTTTCAAGGCGCGGGAGGGAACGATCTCGGGCCACAAACAGGAGTTACTCCAGAGGTGAGTTTTTTTGTTGTTGAAATATTCGAATCGTGAATCGTGTTTTGAGATTTATTTTGTGCCTAGGCTTTAGCAGACCGTATTTCTTTCTCCTTGACATCGGTGCTGAAGACAATAGTAACCTTTTTCTGGTCTGCCTTTTCCTCTCCAGAGCCATCTTCTATGAAGGTAACTGTGGTGCTGCCAAGTCACCAAGTCGCGATCGCGATCAGCAGCCCTGAAGTGGAAAAATCGATTTTCCACTGAACGATCTGGTTGGACATCAGCCACTAAAGTACTTCTGATTTGCCTGTAGTGACAACAGCAGCCATCCTTGGACACCTTGCAAAGACAGGAAAAGCCACTGGTGGAAGCGACTGCTATGAGGTGACGATAGCAGTGCAGTGGTGATCGCTGTTTTGTCAAGTCGAAGGGCTAGCCAACCCAGAGGAAGCAAAAAAAAACCGATGAGCAGTGCGTGGTATTTTTTTAGCGTGAAGAGCTAGAGGAGGACAGTGCAAACACATGGACGGAGTGGATTGTGTTTGAAGAACAGTGTGCTGTGTGCCGGCTGGTGGTCACAGGTGATGGTGGTCTTTGTCAGCATGTATTCGTGCTGCTTCTTATGCTGCAACACTTTTCGCCCAGGAAGGCAGATTGCGTGCTCCCTGGCCCTCAGTCGGCAATGGGGCATTTGTTCCAGGAACATTACCCCAGAGCCAGTGATGAGTCGTACCTTTGAAAAGTTGAAGCTTGCTGTTAATCGCAAGCACGAGGGCCAAAGCTTGCCGCTGTCTGCAGCAAAGTGTGTGTGCGGTTCTTTCGAACCTATGAATATACCCCCCCCCCCCCCTCTCTCTTAGGAAGACTGCATGTTCAGAGTGAACTACTGTCTAGTATATTTAATGTGAGACGGGCTGTTTACGCCCAAGATGAAGATACAGTTTTTTTCCGTTTCTATACCTTCCTAATAAAATACATCGTGACAGAGCTTTCGGTCATACTCCGCTGTACAACATCCTTAACCCGCCACCACCATGCGCTCTTGGCCGAACTAATGCACTTAGCATAAACACACCAGCACAGCAAGGACACTTCCGTTGACAGATATTATTTACGCCTCTAGACAGCTGTTTCGTTTCTTCAAGCTCATCGTTAGAGGAGGATAGTAGCAGGATACTAATAGCAGGATACTAATGATGAAATAATATAAGATGATACTAGTAGACGGTTTATGGTCCGATATTGATGATTGGAGATCTAAGAAAGCAATGACAGTGATTGCGAAATGGATAATATTATCATGATTATATGCCAGTCTGGTAATGCATAGTACTAGTGAACAGTATTGAAATCATCACTGCATTCGATGCAAATATTGGTATACCTTTGGTTTCAGTATTGGAAAAAAAGAACCTGGTTGATTTGGTTGCATCTGCGACTGGCTACCGGGTGTTGTGACCGGCAATGTTACCATGGGAGAAAAGAGCGCAAGGATCTGTTGGGTCTTGTGCCGTGCCGGTGCGAGAACCCAAAGTGCATGGCAAAATAGAACTATTTCATCCCCATTGCAGAATGTCTTGCGGTACATATGGCATTGATGACTGAAAATCTCGCCAGCTCACCCAGATGGGGATCATGCCCAAACAGAGGAACAAGACATCTTTCCAGCTCAGCTAGCTATATACCGTGAAACGGATGGTTAACTTGTGCCACGCATGCCAGCTTCTGTTCCATCCGGCCCAGGCTTAGACACATCAATGCCAATAGCAGCTGATCCTCCATTACATGCTCATTGGCGATGTACGGCCACCTCCAACTGTATTCGCCGTCCCTCAGCTTCCGTCTTCGCAGATCTGGCGCGGCGCAGTACATTTTCTCGGCTAGGCTCAAAGAAGTCCCACAGAGCGGTCCAAACACCTGAAGGCAAACCAGTCAGAAACTGGAGCGGCTCAGAGTCTTTCTTTATGTTATTGTACGTAAGCTGTTTTTCGGCTTTCTTCACCCCAGTCCTCACATCGTCCAACTGCTCCACGAGACTCTGTACACGAGCTCTACTTGCTGCCAACTCCTGATGCAGATGCTGCACTTCCATTACAGGACCAAACTGCACTAAGCCAGGTTCCTTTCCAACTCAAAGTGCCGTTGCCTCTCAGCAAAATACTGGTTTGCGAGCATGGGGAGCTCGTGACGCAGACGCTGCACTTCCATGACCGAACTGCACTAGGCTCAGCAAAATTATTACTGTTTTGCGATCATGGGGAGCAGGGCGTCCATACTCCACTCTCTTGCGAAAAGCAAACCTGGTACCGTAGGACAGCTGTTTGGTTTCCTGGACTCATCCTGTCCTTGTAGAGCTGGGCAAAACGATTTCGATTTCGGGATCGAAATGATCGCTGCAACTCAAATATTCAGAGTGACACTGACCCTAAAACTACGTCCTTCCTCACGGGGAATAGCCTGGATCCGCTTGCTCCAGGCCGCTGTGGCTCCACACGAGGAAAGGAGTGAAATGACTTGTTTGCTTCGTCCTCCTGTTCTGACAGTGAGGAACGCAGCAATGTTCTGAGAAGGCATCCTGAAGTCGTAAAACGGAAGACGTCTAAACAAAAACAAAACAGCTCAAATGAAAAGGCGAAGGACTCAGTAAAGGGACCGTCACTTAATTTTTGCCGACTACCCGCCAAAAATCTTTTCGTTTCACGTGTCAGACACGTCCGCGAGCGCGTAGATCTACGACTCTAGCTCTCGCTACCTTTCACGTCAAGCAATCTGTTCACGCCACATGGCTGGATAGCGCGTACATGCAAACATGATTGAAGACTTGCAAAATCAATTTTTACAAGTCCAGGCGATAGGCCTAGGCAGTACTAATGCCTAATGCCCAGGCAGCTGACTTTATTTTCGGAGAAACACGACTCATTGTACTTATTTGTACATGTAGTAAAAAGTAACAATGTGCCAAGGCCCATTGGCGCATGGTGTGTATACTCCAAATCTACATGTATGGTGATTGATGGGTCACTGCTGACGTTTCTGCTCTTGGACAGTGCAACGCCGCATGAAGATATGTTGTGGCTCCACAATCGCTGAGAACGCTAGTGTGCGTCCATGGAATACTAAAACACAATAGGCGCGGCGCAGCTAACGCCCACTTGGATGAATCGGAGTGGTGGCGAGTGCATTCTCCTTCCTCGGTGAACACTGCTGGTCACCCTGTTTGATGATCCAGCCATGTGGCGTGAACAGATTGCTTGACGTGAAAGGTAGCGTGGGCCGGCGGGCGCGCCGAGCGCGAGTCGTACGCGCTCGCGGACGTGTCTGACACGTGAAACGAAAATATTTTTTTTGGCGGGTAGTCGGCAATTAAAGGGGAAGTTAAGGCAAAAATTAAAATTTCACCAGTTGCATGTAGTCTTCGGGGTGCTGAGTCGAATGGTCGTGGTCCGAGGAAGCTGAGACGCTCCCTTCCTACTTGAATCCCAATCGAACTCGCGCACTTCCACCGAAACTGGGTGACTGCGCCCTACTAGATAGGGATTTGTATGCAAAATGTCACTAAAAGCGCCATTTCGTTCTTATAAAAGCACGGATGACCGCGATTGGCCCATATGTTGTAGTCTTTTGGACGCTGAGTCGACTGGTTTTGGTCCGAAAAGGCTGCGATGCGGCGTTCCTCCTTTATTCCCAATCGAACATGGTTGAAGAAGCGGTCACGTGCTCCTGCGTACACCAGTCACCTGGTCACCGTGCCTGCAGGGTACAACTTACTAGCCTGTTTGACCTTTTTTGGGTGCAGTCCTGTCACTCGAGTTGAACTCGAGTTGAACCTTGGTGTGAAAGTTGTCACCTGCTGGCGTGGTGACCAGGTGATTTGGGCACCCAGGACCACGTGACCGCTTCTTCAACCATGTTCGATTGGGAATAAAGGAGGAACGCTGCATCGCAGCCTTTTCGGACCAAAACCAGTCGACTCAGCGTCCAAAAGACTACAACATATGGGCCAATCGCGGTCATCCGTGCTTTTATAAGAACGAAATGGCGCTTTTAGTGACATTTTGCATACAAATCCCCATCTAGTAGGGCGCAGTCACCCAGTTTCGGTGGAAGTGCGCGAGTTCGATTGGGATTCAAGTAGGAAGGGAGCGTCTCAGCTTCCTCGGACCAAGACCATTCGACTCAGCACCCCGAAGACTACAACTGGTGAAATTTTAATTTTTGCCTTAACTTCCCCTTTAAGTGACGGTCCCTTTAGTCCTTCGCAATCAAAAGTCCTTGTGGCATTTTTTTGTAGACAGGCTTGCACTGCATGTAGATCGATCTCGTGTGCTCTGCACTTCGTATGCGAGAAGTCACGCTAGCCGCGGTGAGGTTGGTCGCGTGTGTGCAGCAGGATCCCACGCGACTGCGGAGTTGCCCCCTTGCTCGAACCCAGACAATAATAAGGGGATCGGTCTATTGCGTCCACAAGTGGAAACTAGAACACGATGTGCCTCCACTGGAAGGCCAAAAGAACAACAAAATAATTATGTACTATTGAGGTAGGTGGCATGCGGGTACGGAGAAATGTTATGTACTAACGGGGTTTTTGTACTAACGAATTATGTACTAACCGACAAAATTTGTATGGAAGTGACCACGTTTCGTCCGGGACTTGATTCTCTTATGTACTAACGGGGTTTATGTACTAGCCGGACTCGTATTAACGGGGGGCGACCTGTAATAATTATTAGTTCTGATTGTGGAGAGGAGTCTTCATTATTTCAGTTGAAGACATTCACCACCCGGTACCCTCTCGTCTCTGTCGACAATGACAACGGCGGAGGAGTCTCTTCTGCAAGATTTGGGTTTGCGCAGAGGGCAAATCGCGTACCTCGGAGCTATCGCGGTGAGGGATGAAGACGAGATTGGTCGCGGATCCGACGCAGTCGTGTATCGGGTAGAATGGCAAGGCATTCCCGTGGCTGCGAAAGTACCGCACTCTCTCCTCGTACAACCAGGTGTGCACGGAAGAGAGGAAAAGCTGCGAGGCTTTGGTGCTGAAATTAGCAATCTCTCTCGCCTTCACCACCCTAACCTGTGCCAAACGCTTGGCATAGGATCCACTGCCGATCGTGGTCTGCCTGCATTGGTAGTTGAGCTCTTCGATCGCACTTTGCATGAATGCAGCATCGGTGAAGGCAGGTTGGACGATCTAACCCTGATGTCGTTCCTGGAGCACGCTATAGCGGGTGTGCGCTATTTGCACAGCAGCGATCCGCCAGTGATTCATCGTGACCTGACTCTGCGGAACGTGCTGATCAAGGGTAATGTCGCGAAACTCGCTGATTTTGGAGTTGCTCGAGTTACCCAAAGGCATCTGGTCGGACTCTTGCCCGACCTCACCACGTGTCCTGGGACTCATTTGTACATGCCTCCGGAGGCCCTCTCCGAGTTGGCCGTGTACAATGAATCACTGGACATATTCTCGTATGCTGTGCTAGCAACAAGCGTCCTGACTGGATCCGATCCGTCGCGAAACCTTCTCAGCTCACCCAGGACCAGAGTTGTGGAGAGAGTGGATGGAGTAAATGAGGAGAGGGTCATCAGTGAAGTCGAACGCCGCCAGTTAGACTTGGCCAGGATACCAGACGACCATCCGCTCAAGCCTGCCATCATCCGCGGCCTTTCCAACAGTGCAGAGGGTCGTCCAATAGCAGAGGAAATGCACGAGTTTGTGAAAGTTGCGCAAAGAGACCTAGCCATGGTAAGTGAACACGACATCCCAATCAATTGTCTAGAGCTACTAAAGCATAATGATATGAGTGACAGAAATGTGCTCAAACAGGGGCGTCTGAAGGAATTCTACATTGTTGTTTGCGGCTATGTAAAGGAGGGGATATCCGGGGCCTTCCCCATGAATTTTATTTTAGAAATTTGGTCCAAACTGACCCATATTTCATTGCTGGGAAAAATCGCGAGGTGAAAATTTGGTGCAACTTTGTCCGCACCTGCCACACCAGTTCCGCTGCCGCTATCAAACCTTCCCTGAGCCTGCAGCTGGGATTGTTTTGTTTGTTTGTATACTGTATTTAAATTCGCAAATCCGAACGAGCGCAAATGCTCAATGACAGGCAACGAATATGTTATTGTGTTACAGGGAAGGAGGGTTGGGGAGAAAATATTGAGAAAGAAGAGAGAATGGTAGATGTCTCAATGTAGAGCGAAGCGTTATCAAAACAACGTACAAGTATGCCAGGGATTGTGTTAGACTAGATACCTCCGTTGCTGACTGTACTCTCCAACGAAATGTGATCCAATGCAGATTACGTTAGTGCCCTGCGTCAGTCTATATTGGGATCATTTGCAGGTCTGGGATAACGCAGCGCCCTGCATCAGTGCACATCTGAGTGCTTGCAGGGCTGAGGCTGCACTATGCCCAGTGATATGTGCCCCAAGCGATAGGATTTTGTAGAGCAGTAATCAAAAGTACATGAAAACAGATTGTGCTGCTATGATGGGTTGCTGTTACGGCGAAATTCCGTGCTTACATCATTGTAGTGATGCAGTGCATACGCGCAGGATTCAAGCAGGTCTCTTTCTGCACACCTGCAGCTCAGTTGTACGCACTACGCCACTTTCCGCCTCAGATCTGCACCAAACATGATTAAATCGCAGAATTTCGCCGTGACAGACACTCATGCATAAGCTGCATACTCTGGGTTTCATGTACTCTTGCAGTAGTATATGCACATTGTTGCTCCACTGCTGGATCTTTCGGCTTATTGCCTGGGAAAGGACTGGGAAGAGACACACGGTTCTCTCTCTCTCTCTCTCTCTCTCTCTCTCTCTCTCTTTCTCTCTCTCTCTCTCTCTCTCTCTCTCTCTCTCTCTCTTTCTTTCTCTGAGACATGTCTCATTGGTATGGCGGTCAGGAGGGCTTCTTACGTGATGTAATATTAGTGCATGCTGCTCAATAATGTGAGTAAAATTGGATTGCCGCAGCCTGATGGAGCTATTGAGTTTCGATAGTTACTTTGAACCGTTTTCAATATGTACACTCACTGGTTTGAGGGAAAGACGCAAATGGGAAAAGCCTGAAGGAAAATTGACTGTCACCACCAGGACTCGAACTAGGGACCCTCGCTTGTAGCCAGCGATGCTCTAACCACTGAGCTATGTACACTGTACATAGATATCTGGCCATACCACACATTGTATATCATGAAAACGTACGTCATTTGACATCCGCCCAGGAGCCTGATCTTTCAAAGGCCGTAATTCGAGGTTCTCTAATGCTTCTAATGCTGATTGTTTAGAATGTGCAGGAGGATCGTGCTGAGCAGCGGTTGGAGGCCTTGGAGGGTAGAGTACAAGAACGGACAAGAGATGCCGAGTTAGCCGGGACTGCGGCGCTGGACCAAAATCAGCTGCTGGGTCGGCTGACGGCCATGGAGCGGCAGCTGGAGCGAGTGACCATGATCGCGGATCGCACGGTATCAATAGACGAGAGACTAAGTACGGCAGTCGCCAGTCTGACCCACACTGCTGAACAGGTTAGCTAAGTGAGAAGTCTTTATGTTGAGGTGTCTTACAGCCATAAGTTATATTTCCACGAATAAAAAGCACTTAGTGCATGGAGTGCAGGCTGAAGTATAGCTCTTTAGCCTGCCAAGGATCAGGGCAGTAGGAGAGTGGAATACATGTAACGTTTCTCTCGTTTGCAGCACCTGGGTATACGCCACACCGGGGTGTTACCTCACTGTGAGGTTGCATTTGTTTGGTCATTCCCGAATGGGCATGGAACGACGTTGGCACCCATCGCGGAATCAGAATGAGCGTAGCAAACAAACGCGCCGGCATGCATTCGGGAATCTAGCAAAAGTTTTGCGCCACTCTGGTTTTTTTAGTATGAGTATTACCTGTTGTTTGCAGCCTTGCAAAGACTACTGCATGCCAGTCCTGGTAGTTGCTGTTTGCTTCCGTAAGTTTCTACATGTCCCGACGACAGTTATGATGAAGGAGCGGCCAAACACGGCGTAGAACAACGAGCTCCCGTAACTAGGGTACCTGCAGGCGGCGTTTAAACGCTACTTCATCCTGCTATTAGACCTCGTATCAGTCACAGAAACGTCTCTAGCTCTCGTGTTTATTTCACAGAGACGAGGCGCTGTTGTAAGAAGAAGTGAAGTGGCAGGCTCGGTGCCTCTTGGGCTCTTGGGTCTCCCTGTGATTCTAGAGACCCTGCTCGACCACGATGAAGAGCTGAGGTGCAAGTGTATATTTCCAGTTCATCAATGATCCCGGGCGAACACTTTCTCAGGCAGCGAAGGGTCAAAATACCACGAACAAGTTACTATGCCGAGGTTACAGTACCAGCCTATACCCTGGACGATGTCCGCCAACATACTATAGCGATAATCGCGTTTGAAGTTTGTTGGAGAGGTATGCAGCCGCGACGAAGCCCCTCCAAGCATTTTCATTCCGCTCGGAATGAGACCTCTTTCCACTTGTTCTTAGGAATCGCCAGAATCCATTCTGCCCCCTTCATTCCGCGACCGGAATCGGAATTGCACCGAACAAACGCTGTCCAGTGCATCAAACAAACGCTCCGTAACCAAAACACGGCGGAATGGCTTTGGAATGGTGGCGGAATGGCACGGAACAAACGCAACCTGAATGAATGGTCGAGGTGTAAGCCGGATAGTAAGACATTTCTGATTGCGCGTAGCAAGTACGGTGGCTCTGATCCCCGAAAAGCAGCATGTACTTCAGAAGTATGTGTACTCTTGTTAGACCTATACAAGTTGAGTTTCGGCATTCATGTGCCGAGGCGAGTGCATGTGCCGAGGCAAGTACTACATGTAACATGGTGTTGGGTTGTACTGCTTGTGTCAACTGCCTCCAGGTTGTAGCGGTTAGGGAGCAAATGGACGCTGTTGACGAGAGTCTGTCGGCGGTCAAACAGGACGTAGCAAACGTTGATCGCCGTACGGCCAGTACGGAGGAACGGATCGCTACCATTGCCGAGCAGAGCACGGCCACGCAGGCACAGTGTATTGTGATGAACGAACGCATCAACCAAGTACAGGACGGCTTGGAGACTATTGGCACCCGTGCCACAGCGACACAGCAGGTACATACACGTGCATGAACAGGAATGCATCTGCAGTGCAAGCGCTGCTCAATGAAATCAGATCGAGTGGGTCAGCTTTTGCGCCCTGCACCACTGAACATCTCTGCGTACTAGCAGGCCTAGGGCTTCACAACGCCGCACATGCTCGCGCTGTTTGATTTCATTGAGCAGCACTGTACATGATAACTAGAGTATGCAGCTTAATGGGTTACTGTCACACAATCATCTAGGATGTAATCAAGGGGTATAATTATGTGCACAGTGATTGATGGCACCCGCTTTCATCTTGCTTACTTGTGTATGGGAAAGAAATGCGGGGAACACTGAGACATACCTATTGCCAACAATTAAAGTTGCTCTCTGCATCCAGTCACATATTTGACACACACATACAGTGCAGGCCTGGCGGAACCGGTCCGGTTGGTCAGGTCATGGCCGCACCAACTTTTTTGGCCACCAACATGTGTTTATTGCTGAGGTCATGTGACTACCCTCCCTATCATACTGAGGTCATGTGACTACCCTCCCTATCATACTGAGGTCATGTGACTACCCTCCCTATCATACACAGAGTACGAAAGGCTAGGGTATGGCCGGACCAATCTAAAACTGCTTCCGCCTGTCCTGCAGTGT